ACAGAAAGATTAATTATTTCATTATATATATATATATATATATATATATATATATAAAAGAGTCAAATGTCACCCATGTGTATGTATGTATGTATGTATGTATGTATATATATACAGTGGGTACGGAAAGTATTCAGACCCCCTTAAATTTTTCACTCTTTGTTATATTGCAGCCATTTGCTAAAATCATTTAAGTTAATTTTTTTTCCTCATTAATGTACACACAGCACCCCATTTTGACAGAAAAACACAGAATTGTTGACATTTTTGCAGATTTATTAAAAAAGAAAAACTGAAATATCACATGGTTATAGCCGCAGTGACCTCTCATAACTAAGTAAGCCAAAGCCTGAAGTGCACTCAACGAAACAGTAAAGTAACTTAAAAAACATCACAGGATGGAGCTTCTCTAAAAAAAAACAGCTGTCTGTTTTCCAGCAAGTCATTACGTAAGACTCTTTATTGACTGAACCATTAAGCTTTGCACCCAAACAACACCGGCTCAAAAGTGCTGTGTGTTTCCCCAGACATTAAAAGGCCTCAAATGAAATTGGAGATTGGAAGTAAAAGTTCTGGAGATGTAATGAAATTAGTAACTTCTGTCCAGGCACTGGAATGCATCGGTTCGCTCTCACTCACGGGTTGGAAAGGAAGGTGACACAGCAGACTTGAGTCAGGAATGATGAATAATATTTAGTCAAGTGGCTACAATCTGCTCAACGCTCTGTATTTATTAGCAGTATAACTTCACATAAATGATCAAGATAACCTTCATTATGAACTACATTTTTTATTGAGTACAAGGAAAAAACCACACTGTAGACTTTTTTTTTTATGCAAAACCTACTGGCGCTTTTGCGGCCTTGACCTTTCAAAATACCATTCACAGAGTGACTGGACGGCTCTGTGTCCAAAGCACAAGGTCTTTGAGGGTTGCCGGATACTGGCAGGAATAGAATTGCTCCAGATGAGAGGGATGGATAATTGTAAAGGGTGTGTGGATCCATGTGAAGAGTCAGTGTGTGAAACTAGCCATGCAGAGTAATGCACTGCATTCAGCAACAAGTAAAGGAAATAGATGGTATTAAATGTTTTAGATGAGGAGAACCCAGAAACATCCTGGGATCTTACATAACAGCTTTTACCTCCATACAAAGGCCATTAATACAGTGGTTGTGTCCAGGATGCTAAACAAGACTTAAACCACCCTCAAATGTTGGGGCCAGATTTCTTTTTTTTTTTAGTTAGTAATATTTTATATAATAATTTATTCAGCAAAGATGCATTAAATTTATCAAAGGTGATACTAAGGACATTTATCATGTTACAAAATATTTCTATTTCAAATAAATATTCTTTTGAACCTTTAATAATAATAAATAAACATAAACTGTAAAAAAAATAAATAAATAAAATAAATGTATTCTTTATAAAATAGATTATACTTTAATTCTAATTATAAAACGGCCAACCGCCCTGAAAATCACTGTATTCACAAACTGGTTGTGTTCCAATTGCTCCTTTGGACAGCGAAAGTCCCCTCACCCAAAGTATTAACATACGTTTGTACTACAGACATGAATGACACCTCAAATATTGTGGCATCTTGAGAAGATTTAAAGGAGTCATATGATGTGATTTCAAGTTTTCCTTTCTCTTGGGAGTGTTACAAGCTGTTCGTGAACAGATAAGATACCTAAAGTTGCAAAGACTAAAGTCTCAAACCCAAAGAGATATTCTTTATAAAAGTTAAGACTCGTCCACGCCCCCACATGTCTACGTCACTGTGTGGGAAGATTTGCATAACACCGCCCAAAT